ACACACACACACACACACACACACACACACACACACACACACACACACAAGCATACACACACAAGCATACATATATAATATATATATATATTTATTTGTGCGTAATTCTTTTTCCAATTGTATATGTATATATATATATATATGTAATCAATCTTATCAAAAATACCTAACATTATCATCTTAGGAAAATGTTACGTTATTTTGGCAAAAGATATCCTGCCGTGTGCGAGTGTTTTTCCTTTTACATTTTAAAAATCTGTTGCGACAGCTGTTGGATAAGGATTCTGGCACAAAATCAAAATGAACGTAATATAAAATTTGAAAGCGACCTACGACGACGACGACAACGACAACTACAAAATATATTAAAATCCAAGAGCTCAGTAAAAAATCTTATCTATCTCAGGTACTCTCAGCCTATTATCATAACGCCTTCGAATTTGCTCTCATCGTCTCTCTTACATTCTCTTTATCAATACAAACTCTCTGTTTTCATTTTCTAAACCTATTAAACCAGCATTAATAACGCACCCTTTTGCCAATAGTAGACCATTGCATTCTCAATCTGTCATGCAACACTCAAATCTCTCGTTCTTTCTCTTCTTAACCTCTCAATTCGTCATTTGGTCATTCTCATTCCTTGCAACGAAATAACATCTGAAATTTAAACATTAACCAACCTTAACACATCATCTATATAAGGGTTGCTTATGGCCCTAACTAAATCAGTCTTTAGTTAGATTTCGTGTGTGCAGCATTGGCATTCGGGTGACTTGAAAATACATTTTATATACAATTAAGAAAAAGAACACAGTTGTGTTGTTATTGTGGCATAATTTCAAAAAGAAAAAAATTAAAACAAAAAAAAAAAAAAAAAAAAAAAAGAATATAAGAAAATATAAATTTCATTGAGAAACGGGTGCGTCTCTTCAGTGAATAAACACATCGTTACCGAATCAACCTCTTAATCGACACGTAAAAAAGACGAAAACGCGATATCATCGCAATGACATATAATTAACAACACGTTTAATGTTCCTAATTAAAAAAGAATAGACGTTAAAGAAGAAAAAAAGAAAAAGATTTTTTTGGCAACTACGGTATAAATATTAACAATTTTCGTTCTTAATTAAAGGAATTGAACGCTATAATTATGTGCGTGTGTGTGTAATTTTACAAAGTTGTGTGTGTGTGTGTGTGCGTATGTATATGAGTATATATGCGCATACGTATATACATATATCTAAATATATATACATATATATATATATATATTTATAAATTTGTATATTTATATATATATATATATTTATGTGTATATATACGTGAACTTACTGCAGAAAAATATTGGAGCAAACCAGGAATTGTATCATGTAATCAACGAACAGCAACATCATTGCTCTAAATATGTTGTGTCAACGCCATAACGTATTTTTGCCTACTGTATGTATGTGTGTGCGTGTGAACACAAAGTGAGCAAGTGTAGAATCGTATATTTGCATTGAATATATGAAATCCGGTGTGAGGAACTTCGTGTTTGTGTGCGAGTGAAATTTTTGCGATAATTGTCTCAAGTCGGGTACGATTGAAATCAGTATTAGATTAATTAGTGGGAATGTCGAAACTGGATTAATCGGTCAAAGCGAGAATATAACGGCACCATTTTTCTTTTCAACACTAATTTCACACGTCGCTACAAATTTCATCATTGAAATTTTCTTTATTATTTGTATTATTGGCGCAATTCTGAACTTTTTTCGTTATGGCTTCCATTGCTATTTTTATTAGCCTTATATTTCTTATACTCGCTTGTCTCGTCTGTAACGGCAGCATGCAACAGCAGCCGTCGCAATTAACATCACAGCAACAGCAACAACAGCAAATACCAACGCCACAGCAGCAAAAACAGCAACTGCAGCATTCAAATGCAATAATGGGCGAAGCTGGTGTCAGCAACTCTCAGCTACTCGCGCCGGCTATAGGTTTGCATGGCACTCGTCCAGATAATCAAGATATGCGTTATGATGCCCCCGACGATTGCCATTTTTTACCCGCTGTGGGACCCGAGCAACCTGAAATAATGTTAACTTGCAATCTGCGTACGGTTAATAGTGAATTTGATACAACAAATTTTAGCGTTATACCATCTGAGCATACTGTGGGCTTGCATGTACTATGCAATGATGAAATTATGGCAAAAAGCTCACTAGAGCCGCAATCGTTCGCTCATTTGCAGCGTCTGCAAGAGCTATCCATACAATATTGCAAGCTATCAAAATTTAATCAACATGTATTGGACGGCTTAAATCAATTACGAAATTTGACAGTTCGCACACATAACACTCTATGGCCTTCATTAAATTTTGACATTGAACCAAGTGCATTCGCAGCCGTGAAAAATCTGGAACGTTTAGATCTATCGTCTAACAATATATGGTCGTTACCTGAAAATATTTTCTGTTCCCTAACAGCCCTTTCTTCTTTGAATATGAGCGAAAATCGCTTGCAAGATGTTAACGAATTGGCTTTTCGTGATCGCAGCAAAGAGAATCCGGTAGAAGCTACCTCAACCCCGGAAGTCAATAATAAACGAACCAACACTAATTGCAACCTTGACTTAGAAATACTTGATGTATCATTCAATCACTTTGTGCTTCTACCCGCCAATGGCTTTGGTATCTTAAGACGTTTACGAGTCTTGCAAGTGAATAACAATGAAATTTCCATGATTGCCGATCGTGCTTTGAGTGGCTTGAAAAATTTGCAAATCATCAATTTAAGTTCAAATAAAATTGTGGCTTTACCATCTGAACTTTTTAGCGAACAAGCGTCGTCGATACAAGAGGTTTACTTGCAAAACAACTCGATTAGTGTTTTATCTCCCAAATTGTTTTCGAATTTAGAGCAGTTGCAAGCTTTGGATTTATCGTACAATCAAATCACATCGACATGGATTGATCGCAATACTTTCGTGGGCTTAATACGTTTAGTTTTATTAAATCTCTCGCATAATAAACTTACTAAGCTGGAACCTGAGATTTTTACCGATCTCTATACCTTACAAATACTAAACTTACGACACAATCAACTTGAAAATATTGCCGCTGAAACCTTCGCCCCTATGAACAATCTTCACACTTTACTTTTATCTCACAACAAATTGAAATACTTGGACGCGTACGCTTTGAACGGGCTTTACGTGCTATCTTTACTTTCATTAGACAATAATAATCTAATTGGTGTGCATCCAGAAGCGCTCCGCAATTGCAGTTCTCTACAAGATTTAAATTTAAATGGTAATCAATTGAAGACTATACCATTAGCTTTGCGTAATATGCGATTATTGCGCACAGTGGATTTGGGTGAAAATATGATAAGTGTCCTCGAGGATACCGCTTTTAAGGGCTTAACCAATTTATATGGATTGCGTTTGATTGGCAATTATCTTGAAAATATAACGATGAACGCTTTTAAGGAGTTGCCAAGTTTACAAATTCTTAATTTGGCTCGTAATCGCATTGTTGTTGTTGAACCGGGAGCTTTTGAAATGACTTCCAGTATACAAGCGATACGTTTGGATGGCAACGAACTAAGCGACATTAACGGTTTATTTAGTAATATGCCATCATTACTCTGGCTTAACATATCTGACAATCGTTTGGAGCACTTCGATTATGCTCATGTACCGAATACTTTACAATGGCTTGATCTTCATAAAAATCGTTTAATGGAGCTATCTAATCGTTTCGGCCTTGACTCGCAAATACGTTTACAAACTTTGGATGCCAGTTTCAATCAGTTGCAGCGCATATCGCCTTCCTCAATTCCCAACTCCATAGAGCTGCTCTTTCTCAATGATAACCTTGTTAATAGTGTAGATCCTGATACATTTATGCACAAGACTAATCTTACCCGAGTCGATTTGTATGCCAATCAGATTACAACTTTGGACATAAAATCCTTACGCATTCTGCCTGTTCATGATCATCGCACTTTACCCGAGTTTTATATTGGCGGCAACCCGTTCACTTGCGATTGTAACATAGATTGGTTGCAAAAAATCAATCATATAAAGTCACGACAATATCCTCGCATTATGGATTTGGAAACGATATACTGTAAGTTGCTGAATAATCGGGAACGTGCTTACATTCCTCTCATCGAAGCAGAGCCTAAACATTTCTTATGCACCTACAAAACTCATTGTTTCGCTGTTTGTCATTGCTGTGAATTTGATGCCTGCGACTGCGAAATGACTTGTCCGACTAATTGCACATGTTTCCACGATCAGACATGGTCAACTAACATTGTAGAATGCTCGGGCGCTGGATATACGGAGATGCCGCGTAAGGTTCCCATGGACACCACCGAGCTATATATTGATGGCAACAATTTTGTGGAGTTGGCCGGTCATTCGTTCCTAGGTCGTAAAAATTTGGCCGTTTTATTTGTTAACAACTCGAATATTCAATTTGTTTACAATACCACTTTTAGTGGCTTAAAACGTTTATTGGTCTTGCATTTGGAAGATAACCACATTGCCTCGCTTGATGGTAACGAGTTCGCTAACTTAGAAAATTTACGTGAATTATATTTGCATAACAATCGCATCGCGTCTATCGCTAATGGAAGTTTTCAGGCGTTACGAAAGCTGGAAGTTCTTCGCTTAGATGGAAATCGTTTGATATATTTTGAAGTGTGGCAGCTAACACTGAATCCTTATTTAGTGGAAATTGGTTTAGCGGACAATCAATGGTCGTGTGAATGCAGTTATCTCATGCACTTTCGCACTTATTTAAGCCAGAGCTCAGGCAAAATTATTGATGCCAATCGGGTATCGTGTGTTTATAATAATGCGACTAGTATTTTGCGTGAAAAGAACGGCACGAAATGCACCCTACGTGAAGATGTAGCAACTTACGTGCAAGCTAGTGAAATTGAGAGCTTATTGCCGCTCTTACTTATGGCCACATGTGCTTTTGTTGGGTTCTTTGGCTTGATTTTGGCTCTTTTATGCTATCGTCAAGAACTAAAACTTTGGGCCCATTCCAATTGCATTATGAATTTATGCTATAGATCACCGGGTTTCATAGAGGAACTGGATAAAGACCGTTTAAACGATGCTTATTTCGCTTACAGTTTACAAGATGAACATTTCGTTAACCAAATTCTCGCTCATACCTTAGAGAACGATATGGGCTATCGAGTCTGTCTACATTATCGGGATGTAAATATTAACGCCTACGTTGCTGATGCCATTATTGAAGCCGCAGAAAGCGCGAAACAAGTTTTGCTAGTATTATCGAAAAACTTTCTCTATAACGAATGGTCTCGTTTCGAATATAAAAGTGCTTTGCATGAGATAGTTAAACGTCGAAAGCGGGTAATATTTATACTGTACGGAGATTTGCCCCAACGTGACATTGACATTGACATGCGTCATTATTTACGTACCAGTACCTGCATTGAATGGGACGACAAAAAGTTCTGGCAAAAGTTACGGATTGCGCTACCGAATGTACGCAGTAAACGAACAACCAATTGCCTTAGCAATCGTACATCAACAAATATTTATGCCTCATCTCATGAGTATCAACCTAATGCTAATGGCCGTCTACCAGCTGGCACAGCTGGCGTTATTGTTGGCGATAAGCATTACAATGACTGCAACAATTATGCTACCATTAATGATTGTGTTAGAGGTTATGCTCCGATACCGACAGCTGCGGCTGCGTGTAAATTTAACACCTTAAATGAGCTAGCTTTCAAGGCTAACAAGGAGACTGGAGAGATACAACATGCCAAGACATTGGATATACAACGTCATCATAATCATATACGTCAACCGATTAGCTCGGCAACACATTTACATCATCAGCAACAACACGAGTATGCTGTGCCAACTTATTATAGTATAAGCAATGGCCAGGTTTCACGCGGTGGGGGCAATGGTAATATTACGGCTCCCACATATGATAGTGTAGACTATAGCAAACAACCAATAAACGCACAAAAAGCAACAAACAACTGTGATTGTAGTTACGAAGGTACCGCCAAACGTAAACCCGTTATGCAACCTAGTTTTTCATCAAATTTCACTGCACCCCCACCACCACCAACACCATCTACATTAACCAGTCAGTCCAGCGGTAATGGCATCGTCGGGAGCTATAACTGCAAGAAACCAACCTGCACCTGCCGAAAATCACCAACCGACGATCAACAAAGTTGTCGCTGTGCGACAAACTCAAAAAGTAACAGCAGTAATGCAAGTAGCAGCAGCAGTGCCAGCAGTAATAGTTCCCATCATAGCGATAGACAAGAAGATTCTAACCGCTATGAATCAAATTTATCATTGAATGAAATTAATACGACTACAGCCTCAGTTGGTGATGAAAGCAATAGCTTATGGGCGTAACAACAACTCTATAGTACAAGTTCGAAAATTAATCAACGGCAGCAACAACAACAACAATCACAACAACAATTACAAACAGCTGTTTTTTGATTACAACAAAGCCAGAGGTATGAACAAATTCATGTATGATTTTAGTTTCTAAGCTCACCAAGCAGACAGACTACGCAACCAGTGAATTTATGAAAAATGAATAATATAATATATAAAGAAACAAAACAAGAACCATTTCTTTCCACAATCTCTGTAGGTAAGAATGGTTAGGGTTTCTTTTTCTTTTTACTTTCATTATATATTTTTTTACTAACTATTATTATTATTATTATTATTATTATTTGTTTTATTATCACACAGACTGATAATCTTAGTTATCATTTAAATTATCAAACGTCACAATTGTATATAAATAATAACAAACATTTTTTCATAAGAATGTATACATTACTATTAATCATGGGAAAAACATACGCAAAAAAAAAAAAAAAAAAAAAAAAGAGATAATAAAATGAAAAATTCAAAGAGAAAAGCTTGTAAAAATTTTAATTCAAATCTTAAATCCTGTGCCCAGAGGCAATGTAAATAACCATAATTAATGTTAATTAATTAATTGATTATTACGGAAAGTAATGCTTTAGGATTAATTATGTTTACTTTATTCTCTATCAAAAATACTAAAACTGAAAAATATATAAAAAAAAAAAAAAAAAAACAGAAGCAAAAAAAAAAAAAGGTTAAATTAACAACTAAAAGCAAAATTTCATACAACTGATGTAAAAGATAGGAAATGTGCGAAAACAACAAGAGCAACAAATACAAACGCAAAGGCGAAGCATATTTAAAGATAAATTGATAATAATAAAAAAAAAAATGTAATAAATAAATTCATTCGAGAAAAACAAACATTAATTAATTAACAAAAAGAAAAACTAATAACTGCTGCTTTTTAAAAATTCATTTCATCGACAAATAAATACATATTTATAATATAATTTAAAAAAAAAAAAAAAAACAGGTAAAAATGAGAAAAAAATAGATAAACAATAAAGTGCATATGGGGAAAAAAAAGAAGATACTAATTGATATGCAGGCAACATAGCACAGATCCAAAACTCAAACTTAAAGCAAAACGAGGTTCAATTAGATATATAAAAAAAAATAAATAAATAAATGCATAAATAAATAAATAAAAAAAAAAAAAAAAAAAAAAAAAGACGGCAACAATTACAACGATTGGTACTTAATTCACCTGCATATTGTAATGAAAATTTAAAAAGAAAAAAAAGAAGCCCATAACAGAAAATTATTAATGAACCTCATTTAAATGAAAAGTAACATGGACAGACTACTAATAAAAGTAGAAAGTAAATATTTTTAAAATAAAACCATACATATTTGTTGCCACCAGTCAGTACATAATTTATTCATTTGAACTCGATTGGTTTCGGCAACAAGTAAGTATGTAAATGAAAATAAAAGAAAAATAAAAAAGAAAAAAAATATATAAATAAAAAAAAAAACGAAGCACTTGATAAAGAAATTGAAGAATTTACTTACAAACTAAAGCAAACACTCATCTCTCACTAATAACAGAAATATAAAGAAATTATAATTTATTTTAAAAGGAAATTTTTAAAAAAAATAAAACCCAAAAATTTATTAAAAAGAAAAATTAATATATAATAACAAAAAGTAAGAAAGTGACAATCGCCTTAAAGCGAATCTTGAACACCCATCATTTCAAGTACTTTACAAATTATTGACATGAGAGATAGACCAATTTCTCAATATTTGCATGAGTTCGACAGATATTATGTAAAATGTCTAGGGAACCAACATGCTATAACTTGCAAGCCCAAGGTGTTTGCTCCTCATACTTTCTTATTAAAAATCATTACAACATACATTACAACACTGATTGAATGAAAGGAATTTTCGTTTTTCACTTTTTTCATACGACTTTTAAAATAAAGAATCAAGTATAATCGGAATTTTAGTTTTCAAAGTCTGAATCGATATTTTTTCACATTGTCAAAAAAAAAAGCTGTTTAGAATAGTCCACGATTGTGTGGGCAAAAAAAAGAAAGAAAGAAACTTTTAGTTGCTTCGAAATGAGTCCGTTATTAAAATTGGATCCTGGACTTCGTGTGTCAGCATAAAGCAATATCCATTAATTCTTCAACATATTGACTTTACTGCGGTACAAAGGATCATCAGCCAATCAGATACCGTTACTTCTTGACTATGCACAAATGGCCAGATCGGCGTCGATTAATTCATTTCAAAATGTTAAATTGATAACACATTTTATCGAAACACAAAACTAAATATCATTATATTTTCATGATGGGTAAAACATTAATACACAAAACAAGAAACCCTTAAAGCGAAAAAAAACAACTTTTTTTTTAATAGGAAAAAAAATCTGCATTATTTAAACTCAATCAAAATTTCTCAAAGTAAATTAAAAAAAAAGCAAAAAAAAAAAAAAAAAAAAAAAACAAGAAGAACAAAACTTGCCAAACAATAAACATAAAAAGAATTGTAAATTGTATTAAAAGTAAAAAAAAAACACACACACTCTAACCAAAAAATAAATCTTTTTTTCTCCTTTTTACTCTAAATTTAAACACTACAAGCAACGAATCATTTATTTAAAACTTTAATTAAGGAAATGTATTATATACAATTATCTAAAAAACAAAATAAGAAACAAATTATAATAATAATAATATATTTATTTATTTAAAAGTTTTTTTCAAATAATTTTTGTTTTAGGTAAGAAATTAATATAAAAAGACTATTCCAAATGATTATGTTCCTATTTAAAAATGTTTTTTTTTTTTTTCTTCATCTTCTTCTTTTCGTTTTTCGTCATAATTTCTTTCTTATTATTTCATATGAAATTTTAGGCCTTTTTTTCTGTTCTTTGTATTATATTACTATACAGAAAAAAAAAAACGCAAAAATACATAAAATTTCAATAAATTATTGATTTGATTATTGCAAAAAATAATCAAAAGAAAAAAAAAATTATGAAAATAGAAATCATATGAAGTTTTAATGAAATATTTAAGGGAAACAAAAAAAAAAAAACAAAAAAACAGGGTAAGTGCAGACAAATCCTTGAACAAACCTAAACCTAAACCTCTTTAACCACTTTTATATAAGGGCATGAAAAGCGCATTTAAAGTTTGAATGCCGCGTCCTACAGTCTTCTTTCCCGCTCTCTCTCTCTCTCTCTCTCTCTCTCTCTCTCTCACTCTCGCTCTCTCTTGTACTGAAAAATTTTTGCTTTTATTAATACAATATACCGGAAAAGTTCAATTTACTTATGTCTTAAGGTAATTGCTCAGCTTAGGTAGGTAGGACCTTCAAAGGGTTCGTTAAATGAAGCGAGTAGTGTCCACGAAAGCAGCAGGCAAGCACTGAGTGACACTGTATCGATATTTTGAAGTTCATTGCCATTAAGTAATTCGTCTATGTTTTGATTTAATCAATTTTGCCATTAAGTTTTATTATTGAGAGTTAGTTTACGATGAAGACCGTATGTGTCGATAATACAGTGATATTAAACCAGGTATGATGATTGTTCGACTTTAATTATCAGCTAGACGTATCCTTTTTCTCGAGCAAATTCAAGGAAATACTGTACCCGGATTATATGGTCAAGATTGATAAGTGCAAATGGAAAGAGAAAACTCCATTAAATATCGTGATATAATTTCTAAAAAAAGGCTGATTCTATAATCAAACGAATCTTTCAATCGTCATTCAGTATGAACTTTTAGGTTGTAAGGTTCGTTTAATAGCAAGCTATTAGCCACTTTACTAGAAATTCTGATTTTGATTTAAAGAAATTGTAACGATTCGTTTTAGCCGCGATTTTACTTAAAAGTTTTTTGGAGTTGCATTTTGAAAATTCATTTAATTTTTTCAGGGATATTGTGCGCAATTGATCGGTTCCTTGACTTTTTTTTTATTGATGAAGAAGCAAAGAATTAGCGCAATGACCCGATGGATCCCTTTATGTCCGGTACGCAGTTGTTTCTCGAAAGTACCCATCTTTGATTTTCATCGTCCATTTCGATAGCCTTTTACTGAAATTCATTTTTGTAGACTTTTTTATCGCATGTATATATAATTGAATATAAATAATATTTGACAAATTATTAATTTCGAAGCATTGTTCCAAAATAGAGCGTGATATCGTATTAGATAATAATTTGCTGTCTTCGTTTAACCTTTGATTAGGTTAAACACAAAGACACCTGCCTTTGCCCGTTGCAGTCGATGGAAATATGGATAATGATGACACAAACTGTGTGTGTTATGAACAATTCCAAATCAATGACACCGACCGCTGTGTGCGTGGAGTGGCGCAAACAGTATCAAAAGCAATTGAAGGGATTCATCATAAGAAAAATAATCCGCTTTATATGAAAAATCATTGGGGACTGATCTTCCAGAATATGAACAGATTCCTCTTCTAATTAAAAACCGTTTCAATCAATAAACTACAGTCTACTTGAGATTTAATTTTTATTTAGATATAATTCACTGTGTCGACAACCTCAAACGGAATTTACATCCGGTCAACGAAATAGATTGATTGTACTTTGAAGAAAATTTACCGCACTATTTATTTTATATTTTAATAATTTTCATAAAAATAAATTGCATTAAAAGAATTTTTCTAATTGAACTAAAATGTGCAAATATTGCGCCAGTTATTTATATCTGACTGTAGATGACAGTGTGATCAACTTTATGTTTTAATATGTGAACAATTTGATTTTTTTCCAAGCGCTACAAACGCTTATCACAAAACAGGCATAAAAACAATTTTTGTCTTAAAGTGTATCTCAAGCGTCCTGGTTTCCCAAATAGATTCATAGCTGCGGCTTTTTTACTTCCATTATTGTGACTGTACTAATTCCGATAATAGCCAACGAGCGATTTGCAGTGTACGCAAGCCTTCATAGAATGCCCAAGGCACAGTTTGGTCTTTACGAACGGAATTGAAAATCCATATGCTAAAGTTTGTGAACTAAACGCGGCATTATACGTAATATTATGCGCAAATGCCTGTCTATTACGTGAATTGGTATATCAGCCTTACACTTAAATTAGTTACAGTGAAAACCAGTGTTTTTTCGTGATGTCACATATGACTCACGCGTCTGATCTAAAACATTTATGGCAACAGTTTTGACGAGACCATACGATTTCTAGATACTATCAGCCGTCAAACGATATATCATCAATTTAGTTGTCGATCTAATTGTCATTGACAATTTTTACTTTGACATCAAAAGTATTTCTTTGCGATTGCTCGTAATTTTGTGTTTTCCCAAAGAATGGAATTTACTTCAACCAAATAAGAATAAGACAATGGACGACGCGCAGTGCGTATATATTAAAAAATGTGAAAATAACTTCTATTTCCCCATAACGGATATAATGTTTTTGCTTTTTACTTTAAAGCTTTCTGCTT